TTGTTTCAGGTTTGTCAGAAACATAACGCCAAGAATAATTTTGTGAATGGTTCTCAGAATTTCAGAAAGTCGGCTCTGGTCGAGCACACTACCTCCAATGACCATAAAACAGCACTCAATCATGAAGTACGACTATTTAAAGATGTTATACCACAGATAGTTGACGAAGTCGACAATGCCATGATGACAATTATTAATAACGTATACTACATATGTAAAGAAATGGTTGCAATCGACAAATTTGAATCATTGAATGAATTGGCAGAAATTAGTGGACGCCCAATGACTACTAAATTATATAGATCGTTCCATACAGCTTTTGAATTTATTAGCATAATATCATCTGATATAGAGGAAAATATTTTGGCAAATATTCAACAGAGCCCAACATTAGGCATCATGCTCAATGAAAGTACAGATTTGTCTAGTGAAAAACGTTTGATAGTGTACATAAACTATATTAAAGATGGTACCTGTAAGACAGCATTTGTAAAACTTATCGAAGTACACTGTGCCACGGCCGACTCTCTGACAAAGAATATTCTTTCTTTTTTAAATGTGAACAAAATTGATGTAAATAAAATATTTGGGATGGGCGCTGATGGGGCTGCAGTTATGATGGGGAAAAGGGCGGGTGTTGCTGCTTTAATGAGAAAGTACAGTCCCAATATCAATTTTTATGAAATGACACTGAATAGTATAACAGAACAACCTACTTCAGAAGATCCCCAAAAAACTTGTCCCAGTTAAGAGTATGGCAGGAGATTTTAGACAAACCTAAAGTGAAGCCGTCATAAGTGCATCGTGTACGCTGGCTATCAATGACTAACACAGTTGAAAATATCGCAAAGACAATACCCGGTCCATATACATCGTATAATACCATCTGTTCATACAATTGTATGTTTTATACTGCCTTTTTACGAGATCTGTTTGGCAGTATAGGTGCCCTGAGCTGTTCTCTACAAGCCCGAGACCTCTCTTACGAGAGCATGATGATTAATGTTGATAGCTTCATATCCTCCCCGACATCTACATACCTGGGAGAAACTCCAATATACGGTCCAAAATTGATGCAATTTCTAGAAGATACTCGAGATAACAACACTTATATGGGGGAGGAATTCAGGAAAGAAAAGGATGACGAGCGCTTGCAAGATGACGTTATCGATAATATAAACGATAGGTTCCCTGACAATACAAAAATGGCTGCATTCGTATTTTTTCACCCAAAAATTACTCAGACAATGCCCAGCTGCCAACATTTGTAACAAAAGAGTTATCAATATTATTAGAACATTTTTGCGACGGCAGACAGTCATCTACCACTGGTGTTAGCCCGCCGATAAATCGCCTGGAAGGGGAGTGGTCCGTCTTTAAGACGATGGTCAAAGAAAATTACCCCACGCTTAGTTATAGCGACTTGCTCAACCAGTTAACAACATTAGGATTGGCCGACCAGTATCCTAATATGATTCGCCTCATGGAGATTGGTCGTGTTTTGCCCGTTAGGGTGTTTTGTCCGTTAGCAGCATTGACTGCGAGCAGGGTTTCTCACGCCAGAACGTAATAAAAACCAAGTTACGTTGTTTCTTGAGCATGAAAACTCTTGACGAATTAATGAGGATTTCTGTTGAGGGACCGCCACTTGCAGAATTTCAACCGGCACGTGCTTTACAGACATGGAAATCCTGTAAAAACCGATGAATATAAACGGGTGATGTTGTAAACAAATTAGGAAAATAGTGTACTTGCAATGAATGAATGTATCTTGTTATTGTTATATTTTATGAATGTATAAATAAATAAAAATATGATAATTGATTACATGTGTTCTTTAATTTATTAGGGGGGTGGGTCGGTGGGTATAAATGTCGATGTGAGATTGAATTTTTGTGTGACTGTCCTTGACCCAATTAAAGCTGATCGACATTCCAATAGCATGTAGTTTTTGGCTTCTTATTATGTGCTAAAAATAGCACCACTTTCTATGTGAGAAAAATGACCGGTTGGGAAAATTTTGAAGTGGAAGCCCTGCTATGGAGGTCACAATTTTTGCGCAATTCAGACCATAACTTTCTGGATTATTGCCCCTGTTTGTACAAAAATACTGTTTGTTTTTAGCTTGTTCTCTATCAATCTCTTGCAAAATGCAGGCGTATCCTGCCTGGCAGCCGCTGGTTGAGTTAAAGATGATCCTATGAGTATATTTCGCTTTGGTTCAATTAATTTGATTCTTTCATCCTGGGTGGCTTATTATCCACAATTTCATTCCATTTTGACTTTAATTTCATGTTATGTTGAGACACTGTGTTATAATCTTGCAGTACAGTAATTTTTGCTTTAAGTGATTCACTTTCAACAACAAGGTTGTGTATTGTGGCTGAAAATTCATTATTTTCCTCAGTTAATATTGTAATTTCAGTCTGAAGTTGTTCATTTTCTGCGTTAGATTTAGTCAGTTCACATTCGGCTGATTTGAGTTTTAAGTTTCAAACGTGAGATTATATTCATCATTTAAATAAGTATGCATTACTTAAATAGTGAAACGAAGAAGCCTTTTGAATTTCAGCAATTTCTGTTTATTACATCTAGACTCTAGAGTTATACCCTTGTTTCACTTTGTTGAACCTTGTGAACACTCGATTGCAAATGTTATCATTCGATCTGTATAAAATTTATATGCATCATTTACATTAGCGAAACAAAAAAGTCTATTTAATCTCAGCAATTTCCTTCAATTACTTCTAGATTTATGGCTTTGTGAACTTTGTGAAGTCTGTATGAAATTTATATGCAATATTTAAATTAGTAAAACGAAAAAGCCTGTCAAATTTCAACAATTTCTATAAATTACTTCCAGAGTTAAGGCCATTATTTCAGTTTGTAGAAAATTGTGAACCCTCAACCGATGAAAATTATAATCTGATCTGTATGAAATTGTCTTGTAAATGGCCCCAATTACCTACAAAAGAATAAATATGCGACAACCCTTGTCGACTGCTCGGGAAGATTTAGCTGCTGTGCGCGTATGTTTTGTTGCCTGTCAACGTATCTTATAACTCTTACCTACTTTGCATTACATGGGATGTCTGATGGTACAGCAGCAATTTGTGAAGAATATTTTATTATTTGCATGCTGATGTTTTTTTGTTTTCTTTTGTGTGATTTGAATATCTTTGTAGTTAAAATCATTAAGTTCCATTGGTTTTCTTTGATAAATTTTATGGTATTGTAATTGAAATTATATATTTTTAGAACAGTAATGAATGATAATTGTTGCATAGTAAAACATTGCAAACTTAAGTCTACATTGTCAATCATTTTTATAGGCCCACATTTTCATGTGGACATATATTGTCGTCGCCTCTGTCCATCTGGACGTCGGTCCGTCCACAATTGTTTGTGGACACTCTACAGGTCACAATTTTTATCTGATTTCAACGAGAATTGAAATATAGGGTTATCTCCCTAAGATCCTGGTTCCTTTCGATATTGGCATGTATCGGACCGTAACTTCATGGGTTATGGTCCCTGATTGTACGAAAAATCGCATTTTTAGCTTGTGGACCCTATAGATGTCACAATTTTTATCTGATGATGTTGAAATTTGAAATGTAAGTTTATAACCCAAAGATCTTGGTTCCTTTCTATTATGGCCCCTGATTGTGCAAACAATCACGTTTTTAGCTTGTGGTCCCTCTAGATGTCACAATTATTATCCGATTTAAAAAAATGTTTGAATATATCACTGTTACACTGTAATGATGCTTGAGTTTGAATTTCGTGAAAATCAGACCAAAACTGCCGGACAAAATGCCCCCCCCCCCCCCCCCCCCCCCGTATGCAATAGTGTAAAAATATGGTATATCAAGGTTATGGATCCTCTAGAGGTCACAATTTTGATCCAATTTTGATGAAACTTGATATACATGTTTATAACCCACTGATCTTGGTTCCTTTTGATATTTGTGCATATTGGATGGTGACTTCCCGAATTATGGCCCTTGATTGTACAAAATTTAGGTCACAATTTTTATCCGATTTAAAAAAAAAGTGTGATTATATCACCGTCACACACTAAGATCTTGGTTCCTTTTGATAATCGCGCTTATCCGAACATAACTGCCTGGATTATAGCCCCTGATTGTTCGAAAAATCATGTTTTTTACTTGCGGTTCCTAGAGGTCACAATTATTATCTGATTTACAAAAACGTTCAAATATATCAACGTTACACCGTAATATTGGTTGATTTCGAATTTCGTGAAAATGGCCGCCCCTTGTACACAAATAGTGTAAACATCTGGTATATCAAGGTTGTGGACCCTTTAGAGGTCATAATTTTGATCCGATTTTGATGAAACTTAAAATACATGTTTATAACCCACAAATCTTGGTTCCTTTTGATATTTGCACATATTGGAACGTAATTTAGAGGTCACAATTTTAATCCGATTTAAAAAAAAAACGTGTGAATATATCACTGTTATACACTAAGATCTTGGTTCCTTTTGATAATCGTGCATATCGGAATGTAACTTCCTGGATTATGGCCCCTGATTGTTCGAAAAATCGCATTTTTAGCTTGCGGATTCTCTAGAGGTTAAAAATTTTTTTCCCAATTTTAAAAATGTTTAAATATATCACCATTCCACCATAATGAAGGTTGAATTTGAATTTTGGGAAAATTTGAATGAAACTGCCCAACAAAATGGCCGCTCTTTGTACGCAAATTGTGTAAAAGTATGTAATACAAAGGTTGTGGATCCTCTAGAGGTCACAATTTTTATCCGATTTTGATGAAAATTGAAATGTATGTTCATAACTCAAAGATCTTGGTTCTTTCGATATTCGCGCATATCGGACCATATCTTCCTGGCTTATGGCCCCTGATTGTACCAAAAAATCACATTATTTTTTTAGATCGTTCTCTGTCCATCTCTTGCAAAATGTGGGCGTATCTGGCATGGCAACAGCTTGTTCATTTTTATTTTACAGTCATAAAAGTGAAAAGTCAATTTGGGATCATCCATATCTTTTAAAGATCTTTGAGGAACTTGGTATGTTTTCTATTATCTTTGACAGATATTTAGTTGGATTTATATTATTGTATATGAAAGAATACCATTTTCACCTTGGACAAAAACTAGTTTTAACTTTTAAATGACCCAGAGGTTTGACGTCGTAACGTCATAAAAACCCACATCATAATCGTCAATAGTGTTAAAATATACATATATACATTTTAAAGTCATATTATTAAAAAACAACTGTAGATAGACCCTACATGTAAATGGATGAAATAATCTAAATTTAATGTTATTTTCATAAATGTGAATTTTATACCAAAAATTAATTTAGACATTTCATGCAAAATTCATGTATATAATGGTTAGTTCTTTTTTTTTTTGTTCCGCTGTTGTGAACTAAAAATCATGAATCTCTTTTAATGTAAGCTTATTTAAACATACATTATGCAAGAGCTAAATCTGAATATTGAAAGTCTTTATTTAGGCTTCAGATGTCATAGAAATTATAAATTAGATCTTTATTTACACAACAAGCACAAAATCAACTCTGTAGACCCACGGATGGCTTGGATTCGGCTTGGATTTAAACAAGATTTCATTGACTGATTAAATTTTTGAATGGCGTCGTAAGCGGAGATTAACCCTTACGTCGATGTCATACTCCCTGAAATTTTAGTTCGAGGCTAAATGATAGAGTGTACGAAGCGTGGCCGCTGTTTAGCGAGGCAGCATGTCAGTCAATTTGATTGAAAGTTCGATATATACGGCCTTGATATTATGTTTAGTTGTGGTTAAAATGAGAGTTTGGATGTCGGTATTATACGCTCTTTTGTCACTTGCGTTTACAGAAAAATTATGGAAATGGATAAACATCGCATCACCCCAGTTGAATTGCAGCCCCATTGGATCACTGTTTCCTATTAGTATTTGTCTGCTTCGGGAGTTACATAGGCCTACCAGTTACAGTACAAGAGTACACGCAGACTAACAAGAAGTCGGCTATAATTATGCCTCATTGATTTGGTCCATTCCTTCAAACATTTTTGCTTCTTATCTATATATTAAAAGTCTTATTTTAAATTTGTAGTAAAAATAAATGTGATACGAATTGAATTGCAATCCCGTCTCAAACCGATTGACTAACGGTACCACAGCCATTGAAAACGTTACTTGATAATTAAGATTATGTAGGTGGCGTTAACGCCTGTCAATCAAACGATCAGCCATTCTCGGAGACGGTGAAGAGAGAGTTGACTCCTATTTCTAGTCAAAAATTACAATGGTGATAACTTTGTTCAGAATAAAGTAATTTGACTAAAATTTTCAATATATTCTTCTTTCATCATCTATTTTTATACGTCCACATTCATAATGAATGTGGACGTATATTGCCGTCGCCCCTGTCTGTGTGTGTGTGTGTGTGTGTGTTTGCATATAGTACCTTGTCAGGACCCGAACTTGACAGCACACCAACCATGTGGGGACCTTTTTCGTTGTGGGGACTTGCACTCAAGTCCCCACAATATTTTTTTGCCCAGGTGCTCACAATGTTGTCAATTGTAGTTTTTGTGCAAATTTTGGCATGTCCCCACATGTGAGCAAACATCGGTATTTTTAGACACTCCTTCACACAATTTACAAAGCACATTGCACTCCACCTTATACTTGATCCAATCAGAATGAGCCTTACACTGTCTTTAAATATGGACCAATCAACAACTTCGTAGCATACCAAGTCCCCACAGAAGTGGCAATACTTGCAAGATTAAGCACATGACATGGTTATTGAAAGAGATGAACCGGACACCCTGACCTTTTTGCTTAATTTTGAAGCTATGAAGCTGAAATTGTGAGATAATCATCATAAATATATTACAAGATGGCTGTGCAAGTTTCAGCTTGCTAGATTCAATCAAAATGGAGATATGGACTCAATACATTTCGAAGTATACCAAGTCCCCACAAAAGTGCCATACTTGAGCAAGATTAAGCACAACACATGGTTATTGAATGGGATGGACCTGACACCCTGGCCCTTTTGCTTAATTTTGACGCTAGGAAGCTGAAATTGTGAGATAATCATCATAAATATATTACAAGATGGCTGTGCAAGTTTCAGCTTGCTAGATTCAATCAAAATGGAGATATGGTCTCAATACATTTCCAACCATACCAAGTCCCCACAAGAGTGGCAACACTTGAGCAAGATTAAGCACATGACATGGTTATTAAATCAGACGGACAGTCCTTTTATCATTATTTTATTCTAATTATTTCAGATCTTCCTCAGAATTAGTCCTCGCGGCTTCCCCCCTTAAATCGACCCTTCCGCGTTTCCTGGTGCCCTTGAAATTTTTCTGCCGCGACTGGAAATGTGTCAAAATGACACACAAGTGTCATTTGACCTTGACCTTGACATCTGAGGGACAAACCAAGGTCACCACGCAACTCCCAGAGGTCGATTTTGTATAAGCGGCCGCGACCTCAAGGTCGTCGGATCCGTTTCGGGGTGAGCGAGTTATCTCCCCTTTGACCACAGCATTAAAATCTTAGCTAGTTGACTTTTGGGGGAATTTTGTCCGAAAAATATATTCCGATCGGCCCGGGATTTGTTCACCTGATAGATCGACCCCACATTTGTTCTTCATTTTTTAAAATCGCCAACCAAAAGTCGTGACCTTGACCCGCTTGGGGCCCCACAAATATTTCGGTTTTTGCCCCCTAGGGGCCAAACTGATTAAGTGAGAACCATCGGACCTTGACCTTTCGACCTAACATCGGGGCCCGCATGACCCCGATAGGTCAAGGTCATCTGAAAGGGTCAAGGTCACCAATATATCTACCGTCTCGCATGCTCCGGGGCCTCTGTTTGGATCCCACGGCCACGTGACATGTCAAAGGTCATGACCTTGGATGGACACATCAATGACCTTTTATTTGAGACCTTGACCTTTGATCTGACATTTGAACTTGGGGTCGAAAACTTCCCAAAACTTTATGTACCATCCAGACATTTGCCAGAAATGCCAAGGTCAAGGTCAGGGTCACGACCCACAAGCCCGATGACGGGGCTGTCATGCGGGTAAAGTTCATGACGTTGGCTGACATATCACGCCCCTGACGGCAACATAGGTCAAAAGTCACATTCAACATCCCGGACTTTGAAAAAATCCGTTCCCCTAACTACACACCTTTGTAGCTACAATTCGACTTTTACGAGATAAATTGAATGAAATCGAACCCCTGTGCCGATCGGGCAGCTGCGCATGGACCCCTACTGACCGCCCACCAAATTCCTTGGCCCTCGTGCCCATAGGAGCGGAGTTATGGGCGTTTTCTAGGGGGCGTCTAAATAACTAAAAGTCGATTTTGTCGATTTTTCAGCAGGATTATCGCTACGCCCGGCCCTTCCAGAAGGCCGATCAACGCCCACTTTTCAGGGCAGGTACATCACCCCATCGCCCATCTGTCACCCAAATTTGGCATCCCTCGGACCCCTGGGGGCTGAGTACTGGCCCCTTTTCGGAGCCAAATTCGTCAAATTTAGCTAAAAAACAAAATACGCGTGCCCGTTTGCTCACAACATACGTACCGTCGTGGATTTTAACTTGAAATTCACTGGGTACCTAGCCTAGGACATTACGCAGCCTGCCATATAATTCATTTCCAGTTCCGACTTCCCTAGGTCGAGGGGTCGCCATTTTCCTGAGGTTACCCAAATGAAAAAAATTGTACAATGCTCCGATTTTAATTTTGAGACCAGATGCAGATGCGCAATAGTCAAAAATGGGGGGTAGCCAAAATAGCTAAGAGTTTATACCATTTTTAAAGGAATTATTAAGGATATTAGACCACCGGAAAATATTTGACTTTCTCAGACAATTTTGCCCAAAAAATGTTTTCCGATCGACTCGAGATTTGGTGACCCAATAGATCGACCCCACATTTGTTCTTCATTTTTTAAAATCGCCAACCAAAAGTCGTGACCTTGACCCGCTAGGGGCATCACAAATATTTCTGTTTTTGCCCCCTAGGGCCAAACTCATTAAGTGAGAACCATCGAACCTTGACCTTTCGACTTAACATTGGAACCCACATGACCCCGGTAGGTCAAGTTCATCTGAAAGGGTCAAGGTCATCAAAATATCTACCGTCTCGCGTGCTCCGGGGCCTCTGTTTAGACCCCATGGCCACGTGGCATGTCAAAGGTCATGACCTTGGATGGACACATCAATGACCTTTTATTATTGACCTTGACCTTTGATCTGACATTTGACCTTGGGGTCGAAAAATTCCCAAAAGTTTATGTACCATACAGACATTCGCCAGAAATGCCAAGGTCAAGGTCGCGACCCACAAGCCCGATGACGGGGCTGTCATAGGGGTAAAGTTCATGACCTTGGCTGACATATCACGCCCCTGATGGCAACATAGGTAAAAAGTCGGATTCAAAATCCCGGACTTTGAAAAAATCCGATCCCCAGACACGACCCCTCGTCTGTAAACGCCCCGAAGGGATCGTGGGCGAGGTCCCAGGTTGGGTATTCGTGAAGTATATCCATCCCGAAAAGTCCCCCGGTCACATCAAAATGGACTTCCGGCAACCAGAAGTGGGTCAAAAACATTATTGATGGTCATTTGACCTTGACCTTTAAGGGTCAAACCAAGGTCACCACGCGACTCCCAGGGGTCGATTTAGTTTAAAAGGCCGCGACCTCAAGGTCGTATGAGATTTGGACATCAAGTTATCTCCCCTTTAGACCACAGCTGGAGCCCCCGGAAATATGTTTTATTTTTGCCCCCACCTAGCGAGCCCCCGGATGAGGTCACGCCAACCGGACCTTGACCTTTGAGCATGGCCTCCAGCCCTGCATGACCTTGGTGGGTCTAGGTCATCTCAAAGGCTAAAGGTCACCCCGCAGACACAAATGTTCATGTCCCTTCTGGACCGTAGCCAGAAAGGTCAAGGTCCGATTCAAGGTCAGGTTACGAAAGGCCGGTCACGGGGCTCACTCGTGGTCCCAAGGTCA